CTTCTTCCTTTTCTTCTCATGAATATGTTGATTTTCTATACTTTAATATGAAATTTATACTTATGAAAATCATGAATAATTATTAAAGAAATATGGCTATGGTACCTAGGGAACTGCCCTAGGATCTATGTTTTTAACATAAAAAATCCATCACCTAGGCGACTAGGCGCCCCCCAGTCGCCTACCCTCGCCTTGGTGCCTTGAAAACTATGATGCTAACAAACAGTAAGTGCTTACATGCTCTGCGAGAAATATTCAATCCTTTGCACTGGGTTGGATTCAAACCTGAATCAACATGCTGAAGTTGTTCCTGTAGGTCCTTATGTGGTTGATCTTATTTGTATATCTCTTGTAAAAGAAGAAATTATGAAGGCTGCTAAAGTTTTCTTCGCCATTAACCATATTGTCTTCTGCTATTCAGGTGGAACAACTGCATAAAATCTTCAAGTTATGTGGCTCCCCTTCCGAGGATTATTGGAAAAAAGCAAAGTTGCCTCATGCAACCATTTTTAAGCCCCAACAAACATACAAACGGTGTATAGCAGAGACATTTAAAGACTTCCCACCATCATCATTACCACTTATTGAAACTCTTCTTGCAATTGACCCAGCTGAACGCAAGACTGCCACAGATGCATTGAGGAGCGAAGTAAGTTCTCTTCTTCCAATTATCATCCAATGTTATCAATGGGGTAAAGCGATGACTAGTTGGTGCCTAGGTGTTGGCTAGTCAATAGAAAAGATATTGTTCTAAATTTAAGATGATGCAATCTCATATATAAGTTGATATATGAGATAAGGAATCACAGCCTTGGGTTTCCACAAAAGATACAATCTTGACCATGAATGTTCCCTTTATTTGTGGGGACTCCATATCAACACACTAAAATTAGAAGAAAACTTGAAAGAACTTGTAGCTGCCTTATATTATTTTATGATTTTTTCTAGTTTATATTACTATCATTTAATTATATTCCATCACAAATATTTAAAGTAACAACATGATTATAACAAAATGCACATATATTCTACATTATTTCAAATAATTAGAGATACAGACAAACAAATAAAGCTTTAAAATGTCTTTGTGGTTGACTATTCGACCTAGTTGATGCTTAGTCATCCTAGGTGACCATATCATAGGTATTGACTGACTAGTTAGTCATACAGTTGGTCTGGCCCTCAATTAACTATTGACTAGTTGATACTTTGATAAAACTACTATCAACCTATAATATTCACATTCTTTTTAAGTATTGTCTTTACAACATGGTTAACTAATAATTTTTTATAAGTATTGTTAGAACTAATCATTAGAAAATTAAACATGGTTGTTAAAACTGCCTATAAACTGGACTGTTCACTGAGTGTCTCCTGAGTTCATTGTGTTTTTGTTTTATGTTATACCGGGGAGAAATAGACAACACAAATTTTTTATGTTTCAAGTTTCTAATATTGCATCCATGTTCATTTTCATGCCTCTGACCAGAAATCATGTTTTCTTTTGTTATCCAATTGTATTATAGATGTATGCATGTGCCTGTAATCTGTTTACCATGTCCCTAGTATTATATGCAATCCTATCTGAAGGATAGAACTTCAGTCATGTTAGCATCTCTTGATTATAGACTTGGGGGCCATTTTTGGCTTTTATGTTAAATCTTAGGCTAATGTGAGAACATTTGTCTAAGACTGGCCACTTAGTGCAAGGAAATGCCAAAAGTTAAGTCCTTATCAGGTCTACCCCTCCCAATACCACATATGGGGTCCTTTGTTTATTGAGGACTTGCTGAACTAACAAAGTTGCATTATGAAATCCGGTGTCCTTACTTCAGATGTTTTGGAAAGATTGCTGAAGTCCATGCCAGGGAATATGAGCCATGATGGAAGTTCTAGAAGCTACCAAGCCCGTTTATTTTTTATGCCAATTTTCATCTTTGGCTGTTAAGTTCTCATAGGTTGTGGTTTTGAGCTGATGTCAATTGCATCTTATCCTATTTTGCATGCCAGCTTTGTTCTAGAGTTGCAGTCTTATGACCCTTATATGAAAAACGAATTCAATAGTATTTCAGATTATTCAATTCTAGCAGAATTACTATCCTTGTTACATGGATTGAGGTTAACAAAATCGTTGGGATATAAGAATTTGATAATTGTAGGAAACACTCAGGTTATAATTCGATGGATGGAGGGACATGAATCAGGAATCTGGACATTGCCTACATACATGCAATAAAGGAGGCAGGATTATGGAGTGGAGCTAGATATTCTATATGTATTCTAACCTCTTCTTTTAATTTAATAAAATCTTGTTTGATCTGTTACTGATCAATAAGGCATAAAAGGCTATCATGGTTCCTCTTAACTAGAGAACCCTCCTCTAAGGTTTCTGATTTTAGTACATTACACCCATCTCTCCTGTCAAGCTAATGCTTCTAATGCGGTAAAGGTGATTATGGTAATTTCGTAACATCCTACATTAAGCAATTAATATTTACTCAAAAATTATTTTCTGCCATCAAGCAATTAATATCCTACATTACAGCACATTATATTTTCTTACTGGTGGAATGAAAGGAAAAACAACTAGATTCCATTAAATAGTTTCAATTCTGTTGGAATCTCCAGAAATTCCATTGTTAAATTATTACCTTTCACTATCAAAATGCAAGTATACAAATCAGATAAAAAACAGTGTTTTGTTCATCAGTAAAATTCATTTGTTTTAGAACACACACAAAAACTATGAGTTTCATGAAAACCCTAAAAAGAATTACAGGAGAATAGTGCAGGAGCACAGAAATCATCTATTTTGGGCTATGCTGTAATTTTGCTGTTCCTTTTGGGAGAGTTAAGAGAGTTTACCCCTCCCTGCTTCTGTATCTGTTTCATATCTTTTTTCATCAACGAAATGGTTCTGTTGTTGACCAACAAAAAAGGACAACAAAACAACACAATGGGGTTAAAGGGAAGGACATGGAGGAACAGAAACAGAGGCAGAAGAGAATTCATTTTTTCACACCTTCTAACAGCTACCCTGGGAGAGAAATTGTGTGCCCTTGATCCTTATTGTAACTTTCATGGTGTGTGTGTGTGTGTGTGTATGAACCATTAAGCAGGTTTTAGAGCAGCATTGACATTTCTATGGAAGCAGGGATCAGTCTTGAAGTTCTGACCGATCTCATGAATTAGGCACTTAAGGTACCTTTACTAAGTGCCAATTTGCCCTATATGAACCTGTGTGGCTTATTAGCTCCCCTTGTTTTCTGAACTGCCTTCTGCACCAACTGCTTATACAGTCAGTTTTATTACATCTCTTTTAAATGAAGCAGATGGAAAGATAGTTTGGATTCATTGATTAACCTGACTGTAGTTTTCTGATAGGATTGAATGCATTTTTTATCAGAAAAAGCACAACTTGGTTAAAATTAACCTGACTGTAAAACAGGTTTGGTACCTCTGCCTTAGTGTATGCGTGGCTTTAAGTTCTATCCATATGGTTCAGATAAAGAAACTAACTTGTGCATCTTTTTGTTGACATTCTTGTCTTAATGTTTTTCCCCACATGATTCTTAGATTAGTTAGAATTCAAATATTTTGTTTTTCTATGGGGGATCATCTTTATTAAAACCTTGGGTTTTATTTTGCAGTTCTTCACAACCAAGCCTTATGCCTGTGAACCTTCAAGCCTCCCGCAATATCCTCCAAGCAAGGAGATGGATGCTAAGCTACGGGATGAAGAAGCTAGAAGGTGTGTGGATGATTCTAGATTTAAATAAAAACATGTGGTATCCGCTCATGATTATGAGTCTATATTTAGTGGGTCAAATGTATTTTTCAGAAAGCATGTAGAACCATTGTGAGTGCATCACAACCATTGTTGTCAAAACTCCTAATCTAAGGTGGTAATAACTCTTAGGATGCCTGTGTGATGTGTGATGAGACCCAAACTTTGGTTGAAGCTACTCCCCATAGTATAGAATCTATACATTGCAGTGAAGCAGAAGAAAAATGTAGTTTGGTTGTAATCATGGCAAGAAGCGTTGTGATAAGAGGTGCACAGTGCTAGAATGATATTATAGAGAATGGCCTAGCTACCTCATTTTTGCTTTGGTGGTTTTCTACTCCGCTAAAAACAAGTTTATTTATCATGCACTACTTTCTCTATGCTTTTGTTAGTTTCCTCAATGCTGTCTTCTACTGCTCTATCTTGGTTTTCTGAAGGGGTATTTGAATGGTTATAGTTATAAACATAGTTTTGCATTCCTGCTCTTCATTGCATACAACCTGACTCAAAGGTGATGATGATGATTTTGTAGGCTGAGAGCTGCTAGCAAAGCCAATGGTGATGGTGTGAAGAAAACCCGTGCTCGTGATCGAGCTGTCAGGGCATTTCCTGCTCCAGAGGCCAATGCTGAGCTTCAAACCAATCTTGATGTATGTCATATAAGCATAAGCTGCTTCTTTCAACACTGTTTTCATCATATTAAAGATTTCAAGTTAAATAGTGCTCTATCTGTTTAACTTAAAATTGCTATCAATTTTATTTTACAACCAGAGGAGGCGTCTAATTACACATGCAAATGCAAAGAGCAAGAGCGAGAAGTTTCCTCCACCACACCAGGATGGAGCCCTTGGCTTTCCCTTGGGTGATTATGATGGTCCTACTTTTGATCCCCCCGATGTCCCATTCAGTTCCACAGCATTCACACATTCAAAAGGGCCGGTCCAGACATGGTCAGGTCCATTGGTGGAGCCAGCTGCTGTAGGTGCTCCAAGACGGAAGAAGCAGGGTGGTGGTGGTGGTGCTCGTATCAGCAAGGGTAAGGAAGGGATTGCATAAATTTCCAGTCTTTGCACATTTATTCGATATAAAGTATTCTCAAGTGCCGCTCCTGAGAGTGAGGATGAATGCTTATTACATATGTTAAGACACCAAAGTGTCTTCGGCAGATGATGCAGAGTGATGTCCTTCTATATTTTTTCTTCCTTTCTTTTCCATTCTTTTTTCCCTTTCTTAATTTTTATTTTTATTGGGTGGTGGTGGTTCGGGGGGGGGGGGGTTCAATGATGGGTCAGGGGTAAAGCTTTCATTAATATGTATATCTTGATTAAATGACAACTTTGTTTTGAAAACTGTACTGGATCAAGTGGCTAGGTTAGTGAAAATCTGTAATAAACAAGTCATGGGTTCCAGTCATGTTCTGTTCAGATGATGTTGTAATCTTGTTAGGGACTCCAATCGTAAATTCGTAATTGAATTACTATTTTTGGTGTTGATAACCTTTTGTAGTTCTGGTGCAATGAGAATCCATTGGTTGTGCGTGCGCCTTCTGAAATGGCAATATAGTGAATATCTCGATGAGTTCGGATCGTCTGTCCCAACCAATGAAATTATGCCACGACACCTATTTGTTTGAAACTCAAATTTAACGGAGTTCAGACTTAAAAGCATTAAATTTTATTAACCGCTCAATTTTAATGAATTCCTCCTTTATTCTTCCATTCCACCGCCACTACCACAACCAATCGCCGCCCCTATACAGCACCGAACCGCTTCCCCCACACAACCGGAACTGGCGCTGCTTCTCTTCTCTTCTCATTCCCTCTGTTACTCGCAGTTCTTCCAGACAACTGTCGGTGCCGCAGAGATGCCTATACAGCACCCTCTTTTTCTTATTCCCTCTCTATTCTCTTCTTCAGTTCTTCACGAATATCCACCGCCGTCAGAGATGCCTCTGCAACCCAAGTCTTCTGCACTACTGCTTATGTCTTCTGCACTACTGCTTCCAAGTCTTCAACTCTTGTAAACTGGACTAACTACGTTGGTATCCTGTGTTAGAGCACTTGATTAATAACCCATCTGAATTTTGGGAGTTTTTATAATTGGCATCTCAACTCTTGTAAGCTTCAGTTCAGCCATTAATTTTGAGAGAATTAGGCCCTTTCAATGGAAAAAATATTAATATATATATCCATTAATTTTTATAGGAGAAAGAACCATATAAATAAGCTTTGAACTATCCTCAAGGCTCAAGTACAAGGAAATTCATCTAAAACTAGTACAATACGGTGTGCATAGAAGACATTTGATTACCAAGACAAGACACCGGAACAACAATGACAATGGCGAAAAGCAAACACGGTTTCCTTTATTTAGGTTACCACCGGGAATGACCACGATGCATCTACCACAATCACCCAGTTCTTTGCACACACCAACTAATACTGGACAAGGCATTCCTGCTTCCCATGAGTCATCGTAGTGTTGGTTCCTTGATTCCCATCATCAGCTGCTTTCTCTCCAATGCTTTGAGCGATGTTTCCACTTACATCGACATTGCAAGCAATGGCTTCAAAAATCAGAGCCATCACCTCCTGGAACCTCCCTTCAGAGGGAGGCCTAGGCCTCTGCAAGGAGCCTCCAAGCGTTTTCCTCTGTTGCTTCCTCATAGTTTTGTTTTCTTTTTAACACCATGTGTGGCCATTGATTAATTTTCCACAAAGCCGGGTTGACCTGAATGTCAAGAAGCTCTGGGTTTACTTCCCCAAGTGCCTGCTTTTCAGCATAACACTGTTACTGTTATTGTTTCAAGCAGCAAAGTCAATCAGCACCCCAGATGCGATGTGCCTGGATAAAAAGGCTCTAATGGTATAACCATAACTGCAGCATAGGACAGACAAAAAATGGTGCCAAAGTTTATAACCTAGGAAAATCCGTTTCCAGAATCAGAGATGAGGACATTGTAAGGGATGTTGTCATCTTGAAGTTAAAGGCGGATACAAGATTCAGATACAACATTAGATAAATCAATCAGAGTATTGCTGCCCTCAAACAATGAAGTAGAAACCTCTCTCATGACGTAGAATAATGAAGGAACCTTGCCGTCGCCGTCTCCGACGGTTGAGGGAGGAGAAGAGAAGAAATGAAAAAATTGCAGCGGCATCTCCGACGGCGGTAGAGATTCATTGTGTGTCGATGAGGGCGAAGAGGCGGTGGGGAGGGACTAGGGAAGAGAAGAGAATAGAAAGGAAATGAAAAAAAGCGGGTTAATTGAATTTGATAATTTTTTTGGAGTCCAGACCGTCGTTAAGTCTGGATTCCGTCAGTTTCAAACAAAAGAGGGAGAGGGTGGTGTGTTCGGTTCTTATTGGTTGGGACAGACGATCCGAGCTCCTCGATTACACATTGTGTGCCTGGGACAAATAAGTGGTTTCGATCTCTGTCACCGGTCTCTCTTTTATTCCTTACCTGAACGTTCAATGCAAAAATCAGTAGCATTGTGTGTAGACAATCTCCTTTGAGGATAACGATTAGAAGACGATAGACCGGCTGAGGGTGGCCCAAAGCCTCGAACATGTCAGAGTAGCAGAATTCCCTGTATTCTTCTGTACGGCCTGTACAGTATGTAAACTTTTAAAATGTGTCAATTCATTCAAACGTTATAGAAAAAATGAACAGTCTCAAATTTTTGCCTCTTTTATTTAAAAAAGTTGGGATTATCAGAATACCCACCCACATATGTGATGCTGAATTTTCATGAATAAAAAATACTGGATTAATACGATTTGAGATTTTAGATATTAAATTATCGCATTTTAATGTTCAGGAATTAGAGTGGCACTAAGCCCAAAGTACAAAGTAGTAATGGGGAGTTTTCCCTGATAATGTAATATACCTTATTAATACTTTTCAATCGGTCTTTGCAGTTGGCTGTAAGGCTAATTGCATCTATTTTATGGGTCCACGTGTAGTAGGCACGTTAGGTAAGCATAATGAGTGAGCATATAATAACTGTGTGACACATGTCCCAATTAATGTGCCTTTCATCCAAATGTTTTTGTTCCGTTAGACAGAAGTGCTCATTCATTGTGCTTACCTAACATGCTTATTACATCCGGACCCCTATTTTGCCCACTACACCAATGATGGTTGGTGCGTTGGTGGGTATTCGACATGCATGAAGAGTGGAAGCATTTCGCGCCTGGCTGGTCTACAGATTGAGCCAAGTTTAAAATCTTTCAATAGCTTTCCTAGAAATTGGCCATCAGATAATATCAGTAATAAATCTCAATGTGGAAATTAAAATTTGCTCACAGAATGAAAATGATTCTGTGCATTTGTAACATACAGATGCGGTCCCATACTCCCAGTCCAAAGTGCACTCACTCTTCCTTATAAGTCTCACCAGAAAGAGGAGAAAATACTTGAGAAGGCCACTGAAAAAATAGACAGATTAAATAACAAAGTAGCCCAGGGACATAATATAGATCTGCTTCTATCATCAACGTTGCTGTTGCTGCGTCAAACTATATAAGCAATATCAAATATTAAGGTGGAAACGATTATTACTCTGCAAACCGGGTGGAACTTCAGACTAGCAAGAAATCAGACTTTTCTCTTCTTCCTCCAAATAGTAATCCACTTTCTGCAAATCCCCTTGAATTGAATGATCTTTTCAAATTCCTTGTCCTCGAGTTTCATGGTTAAGGGTGTTGGTGTATTTTCTAGTATTATGGGATTATTGGCACAGTTTATAAAATTTAAACCAACCGCAGTTTTTCTTTTTGCCCAAGAGGGATAAAAAGAGAGCATCATGAATTTACCTTGAAAATAAGAGAGAAACAGTAAGTTGCAGGGGTGTTCACGGGTTGGGTTGGGTCGTTTTGAGTCATTTTCTTTAACTGACCTGACTTAGTCGGTTTATTTATTGACTAAACCGAAACCGATCGATCCTAAAGCAAATTCGATCCAAACATGAAGGGCCGGTTTGGGTCAATTTATCGGTTTAGTCGGTTTTCATATATATTTTAAACTAAAATATCTATTTATATTTAAATTTATTTCTTTTTATCTTTTATGCAAAATCAAAATATATATATATATATATATATATATATATATATATTTAAATCGATTAGTTTTTATGCAAAACTGATTTTTTGTCAATATATATTTAAATTTATACAAAACTAAATTAAATATTGTACCATTGTATTATATTTGTATTGGTTTTACTTTTTACTTTTTATCATAAATAACCAATTTTTTTTTCAAAGTTCAAACAAAACACAAATAAAATATATCAAAATTTAACATATAGGGTAGAGACTAATTAATAATTACTTAAACATATAGGATCGGTTCGGTTAGATTTAGTTTTGGTTTTCATGTATGAAAACTAAAACTGAACCGAATTATCGGTTTATTTTCTCATACAAACCGAAACCGACCAATGATTTTAAAAAATTGACCAATTCAGATTGGGCCAAGCCGGTTTGATCGGTTTGACATTTATTGTGAACACCCCTAATAAATTGAAAGAAATTTCTCAAGGAATATCACAAAATTCATTATGAACTTACCCTCTTATTTTCTATCAAACCAAACAGCCTTGCGATAATGATGTATATGCTACTACTTCAGGTGGCATCACATTAGAGAACAGCAAAACGTTTCACCACTGATATTCAACCTTTTTTGTAAACCCAATAGATGGAAGGGACAATGGAAATTCAAACAATGCTAATAATACTATTAGATGATCCATTCCTTCAGTAGAGTTCATGATATATCAAATCATGATACATCTAATGAATGGTTCCAGATAATCAGATGTTGTGCAGTAAAATGTCAACAGTCCCATTCTGCCAATACGTGGGAATTGCTTCCTGTAGGTGGGGTCTCTACCACTGAAGTCGGTGATTGCATCTATTTTACACACTACACCATTAAAGGTCGAAGGGTATTCGACACGAACAGTGTAGACATTTCGCCGGTTTGGACCACCGATTCTGCCCACAAATCTCCGGTGTGGATTGAGACATTGAGCCATGCTTTGAAACTTTCAATAGCTTTCCTACAAAATTGGTTAATCAATCCTACTGTGGAAATTAATTTGTTCATACGGTTGCGTTTGGTTGCAGTCAAATACAAATATGTACTCTATATAAATACTCTCTTTTCGATTCATGAATGTAAAGTGTAATTCGTTTTTCTTGTATCTTTCTGTTTATTTGAAATCGGTGCAAAATACATGATTGCAAATACACTATTTATCGGAAGAGTACAAGTTTGTATCAGAAAAGGAGTACAATAATAATGTACTCTTCTCATGATATAAATACAAAAAATGTCAGAAAAAACATTTTTGACATCTTAATCATTATATTTTTGTATGTCAACCAAATGCTTACAAATGCAAACCGGAATACATAAATACCCTGGTTCCAGAAAATACTTGATTCCTATCCTGTGAGAGGGCATAAGTCCTATCGAAGGA